GCTTCGGGTGTCTCCGCTGAAGGTTGTGGAATAAAAAGCAGCTGGAGTGGGCACACAGCATGGAGGGGCAATTCCCAAACCCCAGAGCTTTGCTGCAGCTCGCTGCAGTCCGAGGGGAAACGCTTCCTCCCCATTGCATGATTTAGAGGAACAAGTTAAACAATTGCACATGAAACTTTGGCAGACGTCATCGCCGGAGCTCTCCTCGCTTCCCCCGAGTGTATAAAGGGATGAAGGGAGTGCACATGTTTACCGAGAGAGACCATGGGAGAAACGAAAGACATTGTTTTTCCAAAGGATTTCTTGGCTGTAAAAGACCTCCACCACCCTGCGGCTTCCCTGATGAAGGCCCAGCGTTAATTTGTTAAATCCACATCAAGTGCCCAGAGAACCCGTTGTTTATTTTTGCTAATTCAGCCGTCCGAGATCAAATTGGGGTTTTATTTGTTAAGGATAAACCTTAATTAATAAAAGCTATTTATTTGGCTAGAGCTGGCCGCAGCCTGAGGGTCAGATATGCCACGATCATTATTTCAAGTAAAACAAACCCAAAATGTCTCTCAACAGTTTGAAAAACGTAGAAACTTAGAGGGCTGAATTTATTTGTCTTAGGAAGAATTTACAGCTAATTCCCTCCAGGCTATTTCAACCCTTAAATTATACCCAAGAAGAAAAAAGGAGGAAAAAAATGCCATTCCAGGCATAGTAGGGAAGTAAATGGTACAGCAGATTTGATCATTTTGGCTGGGGGGGGGGGTGTGAAAAATTTAAAGCTTAAAGAGTCTTTGGCAAACTGCTCGCAAATAAATGGAACGTGTGAAATAATTTAATGACAGAAAACTGTTCAGGGCCATGGGGGCTGCAGTGCAATGGAAAATGAAACACGTTGGAGATGTAGCCTGGGCTCTGTGCGTGAGAGGGTTGAACTTGCTGCCTTCTGACCTGAAAAACGGGGGTATTTGCACCCCAAAGCCAAGTGGGAGAGTTGGACTCAGGAAAACTTGTCCTAGGATGTGGTTGTACCCATAGGGAGAGGGGTTTGCAGCATCACCTGGGGAAGAGACAGGCTGGCAGTTGGCTGAAGTGACCATCTGGTGTGGCAGGGATGGTGCTGGGCAAACAGTGTGCTCTGGATGAGCATTTTGCAAAGAAACTCCAAAAACTGGGTGTCCAGAGGGGAGACTGAGCATGGCTGGCTGTGAAGGACATCCCTGGGGAGGATCCCTGCCTGTGTTTCCAGGGCTCAGGAGAGTGAGCTGCTGGGATTGTCAGTGCTGGTTGATCTGGATTGTAGCTGCTCCAAGGCCATTTGCTGTGCACTGATGGAGCTCGTAAGTCAAAACCAAAGCCTTGGTGGAAATCGAGTGAAAATTGCCTCTTTGCAATGCTCAACAGCAGCTGTGGGAGGTTGGGGGCCCTGCCAGTGTAAGGGCCCCCCTTGGCAAGCCCAGCACCGAGGCTGAGACCTGCTGAGTCCTTCCTATGGAAAACTAATGGAAGCACAGAGGGAAAAGGCAAGAGTTGGAGAAGGGGTTGGCTGGTGCACAGCTGAACCAGCACGGCTCTGACCAGGGGGTGGTGTTGCCTTTGCAAATGGGGCAGGATCCGTTGCTCCCAAATTCTCAGTGTGACACAGTCCAGGCTTGCCAGCATTGGTGCTCCCACAGGGAGAAGGGTTTTGGGGTGACTCCCAGCACCCCGTGGAATCTGTAGGGCACAGCTCTGCTCCCAGGCTGTCTGCAGCTCTCGGGCAGCACTGCCTGAGGCAGGACAGCCCAGAGAGGAGGCTGGAGTTACCCAGGCCACATCCAGCACCCCAAAAACTCATCCACATCACGCGTGAAAAGTCTCCTGTCTTTCCTAATACTCTGGGGCAATTTAAGGCTTTTTTTTTGTGATGTACACTGGGCTCATCCTGCTCTGTGCAGAGCCCCTGCGCCTCCCTCTCCCCGTCCTCCCCCGCATGTCATCTTTGGTTATTCAGTAATGTTATCCCCCCTGTTTTCCCCCTTTCCCTGCATTTCTTTTCCTTTCAGCGGAAATTGTAATCAGTGGAAGATAAATACAGGGAAGGTGGCTGGGGGGAAGGCTCAGGAGCCCCTCTGACCTCAGGGTTGGCCAACCAAACTGGTCCCTCCAGCCCAAATGAACCCCCAAATTATATCTAACAAAGGCAAGGGTTTGGCTTTCTCCATAAACTCCCCAAGCACTGCTTTGGGACAGAACAATGATGGTGGGAAGCTGGTTTTAACTTTGTGCAATTACAGACTCTTATTCCTGGAAGCCCATCAGGCTGGGGAACTGGTTTCCAATTCCTCCATCAAGGTGTCAGCAGGTCTGGTTAAATCCAAGCCCCTGCTGATGGCAGTGAGAAGACAGGGCGTCTTCAGGGGACCCAACTTACCCCTTCCCATTCCTTTTCTGATACCACACAGGACTTAGCCATGCTCATTTTTGGGAAGCTGATTTGGGGTTATTAAAGCGTCTCTAATAGAAGAGATCCAGCCTGACTGTACATTGTAAACCTGTCAGACACTCACCACCAGCAATTAGGGTGGCATTTGTCTGGCCCCACAAGCCTGCAATGCCTGAGCTAATGAGGAAAAGATGTTGATGCATTACCAAGGCTCATCCCTAAGCAGAGCAGAGGATCCAGGCAGGCACTCCACGTGTGGAGCTGCCTTCCTGCCATACAGAGATGGCCTGGAAAAGGTATGGAAGGTCCTTCCATTAAAAGCAGCAATTAGAGGCTGAACAGAATGTCCCAAAGCCAGCATGGCCTAGGGTCTGCAGGTCTCCAAAAATTCAGGAACCAGTTGTGCTCGGACACATCCTGATCCAACTCTGGTCTTAAACCTCGATCCCATCACAACTGCCAGCCCCGTATGGGAAGCACTCAGCACCACTTGTCTCCTGTGGCTGTTCAGCTCTTCCTTCTGTGGGTTTGGGGAGATAAAGACCAGCCAGAAAATGTGGCCAGATTCTACAGAACTGGATTGAGAATTAATTTTTTAAAAAATTCCTCCTCCTCCTTTCTTTGAGCCAAATTAGAGTGGGTGAGAGAAATCATTACTATGGAAAAGTCCTATAGCCAGGTTTAAATTGAGGATGAAGCCAAAGGGGGTTTATAACCTTTATTTATACATTTCCCAGGGTTCTGTTGAAATCATCATTGCCAGTTTGGTGAGGGGCACTGGGTGCCCTTGTGACTAGACCTTTTGAATCAAACCCTGATCTACCATTTCCTCAGAAGCCCTGTGGCATGGTCATAAAACCACAAGGAAACCTCTCGCCCTGTTACATCCTGTAGCTCTTTCCCAGCCTGATGGTTCCCATTTCAGTCCCAAGCTCCCAGAAAACTCAGGGACAATCATGGCTGGACTTCATGTATTTTAATCCAGCGGCTCGTTAGCTCGCTGAAGGAAAACAGGACCAAAAAAGGAGTTTAACTAAAAGGGGCAACTGGAAAGCAGAGACTGGCAGGACATTTGAAGCTGCAGGAACAAGTGCTGGAGGGAATTCTGAGAATTTTATTTGTGAGCCTTTAAACACATTTGGTGGCGAAGGGCAGCCCGTGGTTTCCTGGCTGGGGAAAGGGTCTCTAACCCACACATATTTCAGGCACTGTCCATCATGTCTTCACCTAACCAAGAAGGCCATGCCCAAAATAAAAGATCACAGACCACTGATGGTCAACCAAGGCTACACCTACAGCACAATAAAAGACCCAGAGAAATGTCAGTGGCTACAGAGAGGCCTTGGGAGAATGGTGTAGTTGGGCACATAGGGGTCCTAGGGACTGATGGAAGAACTCACTGTTGGGCATTTAATGGCTTAAATTATTCAGAGTTAAAGTGCAAGAAGGTTTTTGTGGCCTTAAAGATCTTGGAAGTTTCCTCCTGCTCAACAACTTGATGGTGTATTGAAACAGCAGAGTTAATATCCCTTCTAGTAGATTTTGTTTGTTGCTCAAGCATTATCTGAAAATGCTGCACTTAGTAAATAACTATCCTGATTAATATAATTAGCAAGTATTTAATTTGTGAGCATACTCAGGGAGTGGTGAGTCCTGCCACCCTGGCCTCTGCAATGATACAGAGCAGAAAGCCCTAACATACCCCTGCCATGAATCAGAATGTCATAAAATTATTAACATTTCAAATAATTCCAAAATGCTTTCCCACCAGTAGGTACAGATTGGATCCAGATGCTTTATTAACAGAAAGAATCATTAACCAGTACCTCCACAAGGGAGAACGACAGCGAGTCGTGCTCCCCACGAAGCCTTTGCAGGCAGCTGACTGGGTGTCTCAGAAAAAGGCTTCATAAACTTGCCCAAACCTTATGATATTAGTGACAAAGAGGAGATTAATCTCAGCCTGGCTGACAGCCCAAGATCAATACTGAGAAACCAAGCTACACCCTCAGCTTCATGTTTCCATGAGCCAGCAAAGCCAGAAATAAACACTGTGGAGGCTGAGCCCTGCGAGACGCGGTGCCGCTCGTTCTGAGCTCTGCAGACCAGGGTTGGAAGAGCAGATGCTTGGCTGTAGTCCTGTGTCACCTTGGGGACATGCCATAGCTGGGGCCTCGGGGGGTGCTGGACGTGGGAGCTGAGACACATCTTGGTGTTTTGGTGCTGAATTTTCATCACCATTCATGAAGGCTTGGCTTAAAGTCTTAGCAAGAGCTGAGCCCCAATTTAGATCAAGTGCAACCTCAGAATACACAGACTGGTATTCAAAATCAGGTCCACATGGTTTTAGCCAGATGTGAAACCACCACAAGCCTTGATAAATTTTGGGGTTAACCCTAAGTTCCAGCAGGTCCTAAAGTAGGTTTTGATTCTCATAGATATCACAGGGTTGCACAAAGTCCCGGGTGCCTGGAGGGAGTGTGGCTGGCACAGAGCAGGACACTGCAGACCCCCAGGAGGGCTTGAGCTTGGCTGGGTCTCACACGGGTCTGGCTCTCATGTGGCTTCTGTTCTTGCCCCACAGGTGAGAGCCTGAGCCCAAGCTGCGGGGCAGCCAAAAGGAAGAAGAAGCAGAGGAGGAACCGCACCACCTTCAACAGCAGCCAGCTGCAGGCTCTGGAGAGGGTCTTTGAGAGGACGCACTACCCCGACGCCTTTGTGCGGGAGGAGCTGGCCAGAAGGGTCAACCTCAGCGAGGCCAGAGTCCAGGTGAGCACAGGTTTGTGTGGGAGAAAACAACACCCTCTGCCTTGCCCCCAGGCAGGAGCAGGGACTGTCCCCTCCCTTGTTTCATCCTGCACATCACCATGACCCATAGGACAGATGGTTGGGACATCCCTGCTCGCGCTGGGTCCCCGCTGACCACCTTTCCTCCCTGTCACAGGTGTGGTTTCAGAACCGGAGGGCCAAGTTCCGCCGTAATGAGAGGGCGATGCTGGCCAACAGATCGGCATCACTGCTCAAATCCTACAGCCAAGAAGCAGCCATTGAGCAGCCCATGGCACCACGACCCACTGCACTGACCCCGGAGTATCTCTCTTGGACCAGCACCTCCCCGTACAGGTAGGTGGAGGCTCTGGAGGAGCTGGGGAGGAGGTGGCCTCATGGGACAGGGCTGCCTAGAGACCACTCCACTGCTGCAGGAATGTAGCCCTGGGCCACTGCTGGGGATTTGGGGAGCTTTATGAGGCCGAAAGGAGCTCGTCTGACTTGGCTTTGGGAACCATTTCAACTCTGCCTGAGCATCCGCTGCCCAACACTGAGCAGGCTTCCCTGTCTCCTTGCATTTCGGGGATGGAGCAGGCGCCCTGGTCCTCACAAGGGATTTGCTTGGCCTCATGCTGACCCTTCCCACATCTCGGCACAGGAGGTGGCATGGGTCCCTTCTGGTTCCCAGCTGTTCATGTTCAGCCATCACATCCAAAAGCACAAAGCAGGGCCTCCTGGTGCATAGTTTGAGGGGTTCCCACATCCATCCAAGCACATAAAAATGCTGAAGCCTTGGCTGTTCTTGTGAGAGATCTCCAAGAGGGAACAGCCAGCCTGGCCTGGGAAGCCAGAAGGACCACAAAGGGCATGGGGACTTCTCCATGGCCATTGCCTCATTCCTCCCTGCTCCCTCCCTGCAGCACTGTGCCCTCCTACAGCTCCAGCGGGACCGCAACGCCCACCCAAGGGGTGAACATGGCCAACAGCATCGCCAGCCTGCGCCTCAAAGCCAAAGAGTTCAGCCTCCATCAGAACCAGGTGCCGACCGTGAACTGAGCAGGGCAAACCCCATCCCATGGCCTCCTCCAGGATACAGCGTGGAGCTCCTGTGCCGGTCCAGGACAAATCCACTGCCTGCCCAGCACACATGCCACTCATACAATGTCTCAGCATCTTCTCTCCTCTTCCCTTCCCTTCTGAAGGTAGAGTCAGTCCCAGGCCGAAGTGGCACATAATTATAGCCACATATGGAGCGAACTCGGTTAGAAACTTGCTTTTCCGCACACCCTTGTAATAACGGCTATATATACACACATACCCCCCACACACTCTTTGAGGACAAACAGACTTGCCAAGGGAACAAGAATTTGCTTCCAAACATGGAAGGATCTTGGACTATTGGATTTGACCAATTTGGGTATCTTGCCCAGAGAGCCAAAGAGTTATTGGGTCTTCTCCTCCCGCAGGGACAGTGTGGGAGGATCACGAGCCCCCCTTTCCACCAGGCTGTGACTTGCGGCGCTCAACTGTGTGTGCCAAAGCTGATCTATGTGTTCGTTTCTTTGTGCAACTCCAGCCACAGTGTGGGATTGGGACTTCTCAAAGTTTGGGACTTTGGGAAGCTGATGGCTCACCCATGCCATGGCCAGTTTCGGCCAGCCCTCTGCACTGTGCTGCCTGCATTTAGGAGCTGCCCATGCTGATGGCACCAGGCTTTGTCCCTTCCCAGAGGGGCAAGCAGAGCTGCAGCATCTCAACAGACCCTCCTGGAGCCTGGGAGCTCTCCCATGAGCTGGGGATGCATCGCCAATCTCCAAGCAGGCACCACTGCCCTGCCTCGGCGGATTTGCCAGCGATTCTGCAAAGCCCCAGGTCATTGAACCGTCCCAGGGAACGAGAAAATTGGAAAAAGCTGTTGGGTTTCAGCTGAGTAGGCGGCTCCCAGCACTTCGTGCCAACGAAGGCTTCGCCTTCCGGAGGCACAGCCTCCCCGTCGGCAGCTCCGCAGATGTGCTCGGGGGTCTGGGGCCGACAGCTCCATGGGGGGAGGCTTTTTTGGTTTTACAGAAAGGAAATGGTTTCCCCCTCATCCCACCCTGCTTTGCAGCCTAAAGAGGTTCCAAGGTGGGATGTGCAGGGGGACGGACATGGGGTGGGCGTCCTCGTTCCCCTGCCAGTTCCACAGCCAGAGTGATGGAGGTGTGGTGTTCCTGTGGACAAAGCCCACTGGAAACCAGATCACCCTTTCCTCACCCACTGGAAAGAGCCACCAGCCAAGAATGGGGACACCACCAGCTCAGAGGGGTGGCCTGGACAGAGAAGACACCAGCCCTGCTTCCCTAGAAGGGGTTGGTTTGGGGGCTGCAGCAATAGATCTGAGGACAAATGGAGCAATTGCTGAGGTGCCTCCTCCAGGTAAACATCCTCTGATTGGTGACACTGAGGCTGAAAGTGCCATAGCTACAAAGTGCCCACCTGAGTCCCCACAGTTCCCAGGAGCATCCTCTCCCATTCCCACTGGGGCTCTCACTGCTGCTGCATTGGGGACCCAGTGGCTGTGACACCAGGCAGTGCCAGCATGGGGGACTCACCCAGCATGCAGAGCTGCAGACCTGATGGGAGAACCATCTCCTCTGCCTGGTTAGGAACCAGCCCCTCCATCCTGCCTCCAGCCCCTGCCTTCTCTGCTCTACAGTGCAGCCCCAGGTTGGGAACAGCTACCTTCTCCTCCTCAAGCTTGGCAGGCAGGGAGAGGGCACAGCCTGACTGACACTGTCCACCTCATCCAGGGAGCAGTGTCACCCTAAATACCCACCCTCTGCCCCATCCATATTTCCAGGGCTGGTATCCCTCCCATTTGTCATGCTAGAAGAAGAGCACACAGCTCCCCACACTGCACAGAGACCTGCCAAGCCAGAGGGAAGAGGGATCCACTGTGGATCAAATCATCCACCCTGAGAAACACCACTTGGGGCAGGAGGAGGGGCCGGGGGGTGCTATTCCCATGGAAAGCACAGGGCTCTTTTTTCGGTTATACAAGATGAAACCACAGGGATATAAATGTCGCTGCCTCTTTGAGAACATTAATGAAAATAAACCCATTTAATAGTTTGCAGATGCTGTTTCTGTAAACCTAAAAAAAGCAGGGAATAAATATTTCTTCACTAAATATCTATATGTATATATATATTTGAAAACATTTGCTCCTAATCTTAGGGCCCCTCCTTTGCTGTGCTTTTGGCAGCTTATCACAGCTTGTCAGTCAATGCTGAACTCACCAAGAAGAGATACAAATTGCACCCATGGAGGGGTAGCAGGACTGAGGGATTATTGTAATCTAAGCTCTCTCTCGCCCTTTCTATTTGTACATTTCAATTACTTGTAACAAGATCCATGGTGGATTTGTTTTTTTCTTCTGCATGTCTGTGTTTTGGAAATTTTTGTAAGGTTTTTGTAAAAACAACTCTTGTGAAATAATGGAGGAATAAATATTTTACTGAGTAGAGACGTGTCAGTGCATGTGATAGGGACCTGACTCTTCCATCACCAACCACTGTGGTTTCCCCACCTGCCCTGGACAAGCAGCCTGGGCAGAGAAATTGAATTAAGAACAAGGAGGGTCAGATTCTGCTCAGAAATTGAGTTGAAAGAAACCAGAGGGTAGAAATAAAGCATCAGATTGTAGAGCACTTTCCAGGAAGCAAAGGCCCAAAGCACCCAAAACAAGAGGAATTGGTCAGGTGAAGGCAATACCAAAGAGCTGAGGCAGCCAAAGTTAAACAGGGCTCCAGGAGCTCACAGTGCTGAGCTATCAAGCGGCAGATTGAATGCAATGTGGAGAGGTGTGAAGATGTGCCCAGGAGAAACTGCCCACCACATGCTCAGACTGAAAGGCAGTGAGTAAAGTGGCAGGAATTGCTAGTAAAGGATTCGAGAGCAAGGCAGAAAGTGTCCTCACTGCACAAATAAAGCCTGAAATCCATTGCCCCAAGATACTGTGGTGATCAGTGATGGTGTGTTCAGAGAAGGTGAGGAAGTTAATGGTGAGTGGGTGTGTGTTGGTGCAACGTGGCAGGCACTCAACTGCCTGTGCAGAAAACTGCTGCCCAGCCAACTTCCAGGAGCCAGGAGGGCTGGGAGGACAAGGGACACCTGGGTTTCCCTTTGTTTGTTTTACTTGGCTTCACCTGCTGAATAGCAGCAGCCTCGTGTCAGGCCAGCTCACATGGTGTCACTTACAGGATGTCTCTGTCATCTCCTCCTCCTCCCCAGGCCATCCTCAATGCCCCCACACAGCCAGGGAGAACACAACGCTATCCCATGCACCCAGAGAGGCTCAGCTCCATGACAGCCACAGGATCAGCTCCTTCCCAGGAGCAACCTTTGTCCCTCCCGTCACCGGTGGCTGTTGGGACACGTGGATCCTGTGGATTGCAAGGTTGAGGAAGCAAGGAAGGATTCCTAAACAATGCATTCCAGCTTTCCCTAGAGGGGAACAAGGCTCATCCCAAATCATCCCTGCAGCTCCCAGCAGGAGCGAGTCCCCATATTGGACATCACCCCAGGCCACTACAGTCCCACACACTTGACCTCCCTGCCAAAGTGCTCTGCTGCTGCTTTGTAACCACTTATTTATTCATTCAGTAAGTGGCTTGTAGATCATTTAGGCAAATTGTCCAACCTCCTGCATTAAGAATATTACTCAAGCAGCATCCTCATGTCCTCAGCATGTGGCCAGTGCAGAGCATACCTTTGGAGAGCATCCAGCCTCGAGTCAAAAGACCCTTGGAAGTGATGAACTCACACATCCCAGGGCAGATTCTTCCAGTGACTCATTACTGTTGGCTGCTGGAAATATGTCACTTATTTCCTGCCTGAAATGTCCCAACTTCAGTTCATCTCCCACTAAAGCAGGAGGTCTCAACCCATGGTCAGTCAGCTCCCAGGAGCTGATGGATATCTGAGGGGTCTCAAACCAGGAGACAGACAAGCATGGAGAGCTGCAGCTCACATGGCAGGGTCTGCACTCCACAGGGGAGGGAGATCCTGGGGGAAGGCTGTCAATGAAGAGGAGCTCAAAGGCGTTGTGCAACCTCTCCCAGGACAGGGACATTTTTCCTCCCAGGAAGGGCACATCCATCACCAGTACTAATTTCGGCAGGAGAGCTGGTCTCCATCCATGCACTACAACTTTGGGAGTGGGGGAAGGTTGCAAAGACATTTGCAAACTCTTTCTGTCCTCAAAAGCAGTTGGTTTTCAACCAGGTGATTCCAAAAGGGCGGGTCTCAGGTGATGGGAGGATCTTTCTGGACCTCCTTTCCTTGTTTCTGACTCCACAGGCTGACACTTGGGCATGACTTGCTGACTGATGAAAAGTTGAAGTTTGCCCCTAGAATATTTTAATGAGAACAATTTTGTGTTGTCATCAGCATCGGCTGCTACAGCAGCAAGACAAAACAGAGCTCACATTTTCCAGCTCACAGGGACACCCGCCTGGTTATCCCCACCCAGAATGAATTACAGAATATCGCGGTTACAGTATCCTCCTCTCCCATTATCCTTGTGCTGCTGAGCCCTTCTCCCTCTGGTGGCAACAAGAAGGTCTGAAGACCCTTTGAGTCCTGCTGGCACGATCCACAAACTGCAGGAACACATATTCCTATGACAACAGCGTGTCATCTCCCAGCAGCCGAGCCCCTCCTGCCCTTTGGAGTGATGCTCCTGTCCTGGAGGTTGCGATGTTCATCCCTAACGCCACATTCCATGTGGAAGGAGCATCTCCTCCCTGCAGCAGATATTTTGATCGCTGCTTCTTCTTTCCAACCCCACAGGGAAGCAACCCAAGGCAGTACAGAAGCAGGATGGTAGCTATGCACAGGGGGTATAATGTTTTGTAAATACTTGGGAAGAGGGGAAGAAGCAAAGCTTCCTTTTGTAGCTGGTGTCACAAAGCCAGGAAGAGTTATCACGTACAAGGAAGAACTATTGCATGGAGATGCACGGCATTGCATCCATACACCACAACTGCAGAAGCAAGGGAAGTTTGCAAGGACATTTGCAAAGAGCAAGTCCGAGGTGATGGGAAGATCTCCCTTGAGCTGGCATCACATCTGCCTGCTTTGGAGAGGCTGATGGGCGCTGGAGCAGATATCAGCCTCCTCCCCCTCAATCCGTTCCCCAAGGAATGTCACCTCCCTCCATCCCAAACCCATCCCATCCCCTCCATGCGCACCCCCAGCTCGCTGGCCAGCAGACGGGGGCAGAGAATCCGTGGGTGCGTGTCCCGGGGCAGGGTCCCCGTGTCCCCGGGCAGGGTGCCCGTGTCCCCGGGCAGGTCCCGCAGCCACACGAGGGTGCTGCAGCCCCGCGCAGCGCAGCGCAGCCCGCGGAACCGGGCGGGCCGGGGGAGCCCCATGGCGCTGCTCTGCTCCGCACCCGGCCGCCTCCCGAACCCCCACGAGTCGAGCAGGGCACGTCTCGCAGCTCAGCCCCACAGCCGGGTTAGAAAACGCCCGCTGGAAAAAGTTTTCCCGGTGCCAACTTTATCCTCGTGTGCCAGCAGGTAAGCACGGTTATCTCCTCCATGGGACTCACTTCTGAATGCCCATGCCTGTAAAGCTGGCTGCTCTCATTCTCTCTACAAGTCACAGGAATCTCAATTCTTCAAGAGGAATAAGGGGATTTGTGTATCAAAATCCCATCTGCTAGAGGGAATTTTGGGAGGGCAGAAAAGGAGGAGAGATCTGTGTTAAAGGAGAGCTGCCCAAGGAGGAATCTTGGTCCAGATCCCTCCAGGGGAAGGTCTGGATGAAGAGAGATCCATGGAGTGGTGCAGGCCGGTAAGGAAGAGGTGTGTCCAGTGCTCAGGGGTAGGAGGGATCCTGGGGCTTGAACCACCTGAAAGAGTGTGGGAGGGAAAGTGGCTCGTGCTGGGTCTCCACTTGCTTTTCTCCCAGCTCCAGACACCTTGAGGGAAAACACGTACTGGATGTGTGAATCACATTCACACACTTAACCACACAAGGGGGCGGAATGGACCTTAAAGATCATCTACTCCCAACCCATCCTGGCGCAGGCAGGGACAGCTTGAATTAGACCAAAATTGCTCAAGGTCTCATCCAACCTGACTTTGAATTCTGCCAGGGCTGGGGCATTCACAGCCTCCGTGGGCAGCCCTGTACCAGTGTCTCACCACCCTCACAGTAAAAAAAGTTTTCCTAATATCTAACCTTAATGTGTCCTCTTTCAATTTGTACCCATTTAAGCACCAAACTGTTGTTCTGTAGTCCCAGGTGGGATTCACAGCATTGCCATTTCCTGTTTGAGTCAGGTGTGAAAAACAAGTTGTTGGACATAAAAAGTACACACCAAACCTCAGAGACTGGTGGGAGCAACCACTGTCCTTGCTCCGCTGGAGCAGCAGGAGGCACTGGGAACATCCTTTGCCTACATTGATGCTGGAGTAAGAATTTGGGAGCTCTGGGCTTTAGATATTAATTTAGATATTAATTGGGAAAAGGCGGGGATGCCCCCCACATGCAGCAACCAGTGGCAGTGTTCAGGGGAGAGCCAATGGCTCAGATCACCTGGTCCCAGGAGAGCCCTGATGGGACTGGTGCTACCCAAGCAACTGAGCCCAGCTTGGTCCTGCTTCCCCTAAACTTCCACAACACTTCAAAAGAAGTGCAATGCTTGGGCCTCTCTCAAGTTTGCCTTGTAGGCTTTTTGTGTTTGTTTTTTCTTTGAGCCAGGAGAGTTCACATTCCCAAGCTTTTCCCTGCAGCCAGTAAGCAGTTTATTTTTTTTTTTTAATAAAAAAGAAGAAAGCAGAGCTTTGCATGTAACCTCAGCTTCCCTGAGCAGGGCATCAGCCTCGGGCACTGGACAGGCAGCCGAGAAGAGGCTGAAGCAGCTGGCAGATCTGGGGGTTGGAAGGGGGTTCTGAATCCTCCCTTCTTCCTTCCCATGCCAAAATCTCCATCCTAGCCACATCTCCAACCACAGCAACATGTACTGGAGAGAGTCCATTTTATAAAACCACTGCTTTTCTCATTTGAAAACAAACAGGGAAAGAAAACAACTAAGTGGAGCCATTTTATGAAATTAACACAACACACAGACTGGGCAGCAGCACCTCCCAGCCACCAACAACTTAAGAAAATACAGGAAAACCAGAGAAGTGAAGCATTTGTTGCCTGGCAACCTCGTGCAAAAAAAAAAAAAAGGGGCTACTTATCTTGGAAAATACAAGCTGCTCCTTTATGAGTCCTAAGAACAGAAAGAAGAGCAACCACATCTTACCTGAGCTTCTCCAGCCCTCCAGGATTTTTGTGTGATCACCAAGCTTTGTAACAACTTGCTATTCAGGGAAGGAAAAGTGAGCAGAACTGCTTGTAATTCCCAGCTCTGCTGAATTTAAAGGATCAGCACAAATAATGCACACCTGGAAAAGAGGTTCCTCTGCAGGACAGGTGAGTGTAGGGGAAAGGGATTCTCTCTAGAAGTCCCAGGGCACTCCAGGCTCTACAGTGGGGTTTCACATCTTGCTGAGGATCAATCCTGCTGGGGCTGGACCCAGCTGCTGCCCAGCTGCATCTGCTGCTCCTGAAGGAAGGATGTATCAGAGCACAATGATTTGTTTTTATTGGGAATATTTGCTTCCTGCCACCAGGATGCATGTGCAGCAGCAGAGAAACATACAGGAGTTCAAGATCTTTTGCATCATGTGAGGCAGAAAAGACTTGTGAAGAAGGGTCTGTGTTACCCAGGCATCTGTGTGAAGGAGAAGTGGCCACGAGTGAATTGCTGAACCTGCAATCCTGCCCACCTTCCTTGAAGTGAGAGAGCGAAGAATTCCACTTCAAACTTCACCACACAGCTCAGCCTGAGGCCACAACAGCACTGGGATTGAGTTACTGGTACAGAAACTTCTACCCGAGCTGAGCAAAGGCTGAACATCAGTCTGAGCAGGTGTTCTCCCCAGTGAGGTCTCAGCAAGAGCATCTCTGAGGAGAGCAGAATCAAGAGGACAGCCTTACAGGTGGAAGGGGAATTTATTTTCTACTCATTCTGGCTTGCCCCTGTGATGTTATTCAGATTCTGTGTTGCCCTCAGAGGAGGGAGGAGGCACTGAAGAGCAGAGGTTTCCTCCTGCCTTCTCCTCCAGAGGGATGCTCCCTTGCTGCTGCTGGGAGCAGCCCCTGGCACCTGGGGACAGCTGTGTGGCAGAGGAGCTCGTGGACCTTTGTCACCATGCAATACCCTGGTCCCGGCCTCTCCTCTCCAACAAGACACTTTTGGGTGACACTGCAGAGCAGCAATACTCCCTTCAAAGCCCCTCTGCTCATTTCCAGAGCTTTCTGCAAACATCAGCTGGTCCAGGCTGTGAATGGCGTGGCAGTAGTGGACAGCAGGGAACAGCTGAAAGAAAACACCCCTAAGGCGATCACAGCACATTTCCCAAATAGCAACGGCCATTCTGCAACCAGAGAAAGGCTACAGAGGGGGAGAAACTCAGTCTGACGCCCTGGGGACATTTTCAGGTATTAGTGGCATGTGGACTAGACGCCCTTTGGGAGAAAACTCTGTCTGTAAACCTGTTTCGTGCCAGCATTTTAGACTTTCCAGAAGTCCCAGAACTGTGTCCAGAAAATGTATCCAGGCTCTGTGTCCAGGGTAAAGGATTCCTGCTGGCTTCTCCAGGCATGTCGCTCTGCATCCTGCTGTGCTGGGGCTGAGCTGGAAAAGCCACAGCTGCTGCTGGCTGGGAGCTGCCAGGAGCTAGCAGGGTCCTGCCTGCAGTCAGGCTCCTGCCAGGGAGCTGTGTCCTGTGGCGTGAGAGGAGGTGGCACTGGGAGCACTGAATGCTTCAATGGCTTTCCAACATCACCCCTGAGATTTTGAATTCCCTGTTTCACTGCCTGGAAGTCACCTGCCTCCTGTCCTCCTTGGTGAGGAGGGAACCTAAGGGACTAAGTCCTAAGGGACTCACATTCTCACAGATGCACGTGGCTGGGCAGGAGAAGGGTGGCTGCTTTATAACCTCTGCTACCAACCCCATCTGACTAAGAGGCTGTGGGACCCCCATGATTTTCCCTGCCTGATTCATGGGATATTCATGACCAGGAGGACAAGGCACATCTTCCCTGTCACAGCTCCAAACACAGAAAACCTTTCCTTCAATGACCCCTTCCTTGAGGGGTAGTCCATGTACTTTCCACCTCTCATGCTCAGCAGGAAAGAGAGAAACCTGCCTCCACATCCTCTTCCTGCATGTCCCTTCTCTCTCATGACTTCTCTGACATATTCTGATGGCAGTGGAATTTCATCAAGGCTGCACTGAACATCCTCAGGGTGCAGGTGACCTCCCTGGTGACATCTCTCTCACACACACACGCACACACTCTCCCACTCACGGGGGGACCAGCAGAGCCAGGATGAGGGGGTTTGGGTGGTTGGTCTCTCTGGTTGTTACCAGTATGGGGTGGTGGCCAGGAGGATCTGCAGGGCCATGGAGAAGCAGGGCAGCTGGGCCACACTGTAGGCCACGGAGCGTGTGGGTGCCCTGAGGCGCAGGAGATAGGCAATGGTGTGGATGATCCGTCCTACACAGAAGATGAGGAAGTGGATCCTGGCCACTGTGGGACTGGGATCCAGCAGGGAGTAGACGGCTCCAAGGAAGAGGAAGGGGAAGATGTTCTCCATGTCATTACGGTGGGCCCTGAAAAACGAGATAAGGTTGTTCCTTCCCACTGGAATTCCCTGTTTTCTCTCATTTCTTCTAGCCAGAGTATGCATCCCTAGGTGCTGCTGAGTGTCTCCCCCATTGGATGGGGCAGACACAGCCCCCAAAAGCATCAGTTCTCCCTTACATAGAGGCAGGAGAATTTCACACTCTGTGTCTCTCCCTTGGGATGCTGAGCTCCTGAAACTTTCTCTCCATGACTGGGACGCCTTTGACACGGCAGATGACAGCTCGAGGGTTGGAGCGTTCAAATAAACAAAGCAAAACACAGATCCTGTGAAGAGCTCCAAACTGGTGTGGTGCCAGCACGGCATGGCCCCAGATGTGGCCATGCTAAACAACAAAAGGCAGTTCCAGACCACAGCTTCTCCAGTGGAGAAACTCTCAGGATGAGAAGGTTTGTGGTTTCACCTCTCTCCATAAATGTATCCAAAGGGGATTGGGGAGGAGGGGCCCAACGACCCCCACACCGTGCCTGCAGCACTTGGGTAGGTGCCACAGTATGGCTGGAGGGGACACTGTGGCCATGTGGTGACACATCAGCACTGACGGGGCCAAACCCTGTGCTCCAGCTGAACATGAACCTGCCCGGGTGTCACAGCATCACTGCCACCACCCACAGCACTACTGAAACAGCATCTGCTCGTGCCATGAGGGTGGGTTAGGTCCCTCCTCCCCCAGGCATATTCTCTGAACAAACCCCAAGGACTTGGGGATTCAGCAGGGCTGGAAGGACAAATGGAAGAAGAAGGAAGAGAAAGGAGAGAGCTGAGAGGCAGCCAGGGGGTAAATGTCCTTCCCTGTTCTGTCCCTGCCCTGCACAGACCCTGGCTCTGCTCCTCTCCAGATACAGTCTGAGATGAAAAGCTGACGTTGCCCTTGCTCTGGGGAAACACCTTGGATTGAATGTGTCTTCTCCAGGGCTGCAAATAGAACAGCAAGGATGGACTCTGAGAGCTTTAGCTGCCAAAGTCAGATCCCAGGCTGTCCCAGATTTTGCTACAGCTCCAGTTATTTATTTTTATGGAAGATTGTTTCTTCTGACTAATCAAAAGAAGATTGTGATTACTATTTCTGCTATTATTTTCTTTTTGGTGGGAAGGAAATGGCTCATTTTTCATCCTTCTCCTCTCCCTGGCAGCCCAGCAATTAGGTGGCATTGGATATTTTCTAAAGCAAATGCTGGAGGCAGTGGGACATGAGCAATGAGGTCCCCACATGCAGCCCAGGGCTAGAGGAGAGCAGGGCACAGCTCCGGTCCCTTTCCTGCACATCACCAGCAATCCAGCCTAGTGCCTGGAGCACCTCCTTCAGTAAGGGGAACAGCAAATCAAGCCTAGGGCTGAACAACTCCATGTTTTACCTCTGAGCAACTGTGATTCTCACAGAAGAGGTGTAACATTCAGAGTTTGCCCAATCAGAGAGGCAAAAGTTATTGCAATCCTGTTCAGCCTCTTCCCAGATCCCGAAAAGGACAGCTGCCTACAGCACTGGGAGCAGTCACCTGTCCAAGCTGTGCAGGGATCTGGGGTCCTGTTGGAGCAGGACAAAAAGAGCCTTTGAGTGGGGTACGGGATGAGAGCCTGTGGGACTTTTAGCACCTAGAAAAGAGTTATTCAGAGCTGGATGTTGAACACAAACCCGGATCCTTGTCTTGCCCTTCCTCCAGTGCACACCATGCTCCTGTTAAAGATTAAACTGCTTTAGGGTCCCACAGCAGAGTATTACTTGATTAACGAGCCCTTCAGCTTCCCACTTCTTTGCCAGCAGCTGGTGCAGAGGGAATGTTGGCACCGGGAATGGTGGCACCGGGAATGGTGGCACTGCTCACCTGCGGCACCGCTCCACGTCCGGGTCCTCGCGGCAGAACTGCAACCCCCCATTGCGCAGGGCGTCCTCCGGGTTTGCAAATGCCTGCAAGACAGAGGCCCCAGGGGCTTACAGTCTTCAGGAACCTCACAGGTAGAAGCTTTGCGCCCCTAATCTTGAAGTTCTGTGGGGATTTTTATCTGCCCCAATTTGTTACCACTCTTCATTAAAATGAGGATCACTGCACTTCTGTGCACACCGTCCTGGGGGTTAAACCCTGCACCTCCCTAGGAGTTTTCCTTGTTCTCCAAAAAACCCAATGCTGCCTGCTGAGCAGGTCCCAAATCTGAGGGTTTCAAGGGAGCTCCCACCTCACCCCTCCACTTCTTCCCATGAAACCCATTTAGAGGAGACTTTGCCAGCCAGCAAGATCACTGCTGGCAGAGAGCTTGAAGACATAATGCAGCCTCCAAAAGATAACCAGGACTGACAGATTAGAGAATATTCCCTGGCTGGTTTTCTGGCAGTGGCACTGTGTGGCTTTCCCATGGGAAAATGGGATCCTACACTGATAAAGTTAAAAATGAGAATGATTTGCACAAGCTCCCCACCTATGCTCAGAAGCTGTTTCTCAGGGACCTGGTTACATATGACAGCTTCATTTTCCAGCCTGGAAAGGGCCCTGGTGCTTTCTTTAATTATGTTAAAGCCCAAACTCTCCCAGGGCTGGAGCATCATTTAAAATCACAAGGGAAGAAGACAATTCATCAGTTACAATGATGCCACAGCACAGGGCATTTGTTTTCTATGAGAGAGCTGAAATGTCTCCTTCCCACTCTACTGATGCAGTCAGAAACTCCTCAAATACTTTAAAACAGATTTTACAGAAAGCTGAGTTTTACCTGGAATTGGGGTGAGGGTAATAAAAGTCCAGTTGGCCCCAACTCCTGGCAGCTGGGCCTCCCTGTATTTTCCCCCCTGATCAAGAATCATTTCCTCCAGCTATTGTTTTATTCCCCAGGACTTGCTGCTCTCCTGGAACACTCCTATAGCCAGTCAGCCTCCAAAAGCTCAAAAGCTTTCTGCTAAATCGCAAGAAAAAAGACCATTGCAAAGATTTCTTCTTAAACATTTTTTTTCTTCTCCTTTTTTTTCCCCAGACTCTGCAAATTAACTGTAAACAGACTCTTTCTAGAAGCATCTCACCTGCTTGGCATTTTGGATCTGATTATTATTTAGATTAGGTTTCCAAAATTATAAACATCAAGCTACAGATGGTAGAAACAAACAAAAAGGGTCAAAGAGAAGTGAGATATTTATCTGCTGCAGCTATGAAACAAGTTTTGCTTTCAACTGAAGTCAAAGAAAACTCAGCTTGCTTCAGGAAATTTTTGTTGAACTTTAGAGGAATAAAACAAGAAAGAAAAGCCACAGAAACCCAAGCAAAGGACTAGAAAGGGAGGAGAGGGAAAACGAAACTGGATCTTACCTTCTTTCTGAGTCTCACTTGACCCGTAATGATGGCAACGACATACATTTTTAAAATCAAAATTGTGCTGTAGAACGTGAATGACAGGAACACTTTATTTTCCATCATTTTGGCAGAACGTGCTGCTCAGTCGCTTCAGCACCCAAAGCCAGGGGAGATCTTGGGCTGCCAGAGAGCTCCGCAGGAGAGAGGCAGGAACAGCTGCGTTTAAACACAACACAAATCCTCTCAATTTCTACCGAAAGCCCGCAGCCCCTGTACCCCCCGCCAGGCTGCCGGGACAGAAAGGAAACCCCAGCCAGCACATGGAACAGGCTTCCAGTGCTCCTCACACCCTGGCACCAGCAGCTCCCCGCGGAGGAGCTGCCCCCAGCCAGGGGACATCACCCTCGGGAGGGGAGGGCTGGCTCTCAGCTTAACCTCCGACCTCTTTAAAGCAGCGCAGCCCGACCCCGTCCCAGCTCCCCGCGTGTGCCCCGAGCCGCACCGAGCATCCCTCGCCCGGCCGGGCACTGCTCACCCGCACAGCGCAGCTCTTCAGCCGTGGCAGGAGGAGTTAGGGAGAAGGTGAGCGCCTGCCCCAGCCGCCTCCAGCCCTGTACTGGAGCCCACTCCTCCCGGGCCGCGCTTCCCGTCCCGCCCAGTGCTGGCTGAGCATTCACTCCCATGACAGAGGCAGCCAAGCCTTTCCTACAGATCCACCTGCCGGGGGATGGACAGGGGACAGAGCTGTCCCTTGGCCCACCAGCGCCCACCACCCGGCAGCCTGGGCTGCCCCCGCACCCCTGGCTGGGAGGGGAGCCCCGGGAATGACCAGCCTGGAACCTGGAACCAAACCAGGCGTGTCTTGGACCGCAAAGCCCCAAAACGGCAAGAAGTGAAGAGCTGCCTGCCCGCCCCAAAGTCACCTCTCCTGGTTTTCTCCAAGAGGATGAATCAAGGCACCCAGATGGAATTTTGTCCTTGGTCTAGAAGTGCCATGTGAATTTGGAGCTGGTTTTTCCTCAGCCATCACACGTTGAGGAATAAAGAGTGGGATCTCAGCCGCTGCAGGCAGCTCCCCCAGTGCTAGCAGCAGCAAACCTCAGGGAGCCAGAGGCGTTGGGGCTGGCAGGAGCTCTCCAAGTTTATTAGAATGAAAGGGCTGGATTTAGTGTTCACTTCCTTAACAGAGAAAAAAGAAAAAAAGAAAAAAAAAAAGAAAGGAAAATACTTAAATACTTATTTCAGGAAAATAGAAAATTCTTTGCATTTGCCTCTGGATCTTCCTCATGGCCGTTCTGCCCTAGTGCTGCAAACCCAAAGACACTCCACTGCTCCATGCAGTGCGCTGGCTCAACCCCATGACATCCAAGTGTGCAGGTGGAAGCACAAAGCAGTGAAGAACATGCAAAGCCGGACGTGCAACGGGACCCACAGTGCAAGCATAGAAACTGGATGTAGCTCCTGTGGTTTGTGTTGCCATGGCATGGGGGCAAATATGGAGTGCAGGTCACGTTACCCAGAAAAGTTTTGACAAACCAAAACCTTCTACCAAGAAATATTCTGTACAACACACCCACAAATAACGGAAGATTTGATCACAGTTGGCAGCACCTTGCACTATAGTGGTTAATAAGGTGTAAAAGGCTCCCAGTTTCATATCTAACTGGCAGACAAGAATTTTACTTGAAATTCCAGGAACAGTTTGACAGATTTGCCCGCCTCTCCCACCCCACTAGAATCATCTTTTGGTAAGTCTCAGATATGCTGAGTGTTAACCTGGAAATTAACATTGTGATTGTCATTGTTTTGTTAATGCTCTATAAAGCCATCCTGCAGTTCAGGCATTTATCATGGGCAATCCAAAAGAACCATATATGTTACATTCAATACATTGTGCTATTCCTGAACCCAGCTGGCTCTTTTGAATATAAGCAGACCTGTAGTTCACAGACTATTCATGCACATGGCTTGGGGCGTTATAGCAAGGTTTTTTCAGCAGTGCAGAGAGTCTTTTAAAACCTCAAGCACTTGGTTTTAAGGGGGAGGTACTTGCAGCTGGTCACCACCACCCTGGCGTCGGGGAGGCTGCAGAACAAGTCCTGGAACAGCCCAGTGTGGAGCTCTGTGGCCTCTGGCAGGCTGCTTTCCTGGGGGTGGGAGCAGGGACACCAGCACACGCAGCAGCCATGTGGATTCAGACTCTGTGGTAAGAGCTGGGGTGTTCACCAGCAAACTACCCACAAACGTATCCCTGGAGCTCAGCACAGTATTATAAACATCTTAATGCCAAGTATAAGTAGACAGTGGCAAAGCCACATCCCAGACACTGCTCCCTCCCATCCCTCTTCTCCACAGCTGGTGATAGGATTCAACCCATAGCAGAGAAGACCTCGGCGCCCAAGGACTGGGGTTATGCAGGGCCAGACCAGCCCCACAGCATGGATGAGACATTCTCCAGCAGCCCCTTCTCCCAGGAGCCTGGGAGAGGGCAGGCAGCCAGACCCTTCACCAACACATCACACCCTCCATCCAGCAGCTCCAGTTTTTACCAGCTGACGATCCAGTCCACGGGATCTTCGGCAGTGAGACCTTTTTCCTTCATGCACCTTCTTCCTCTCCCAAGGCAGACAACACCTCGCTGAGCAGCAGGAATATGCACCTGCAGACAAGCCAGGACTCCTCCTGCCAGCCAGCCAGACTTCTCCTCTTTGGCATAGTTCAAACACTGGCAAGGAGCCTTGGACAATTTGCACAAGCAACTGGCACAAATTTACATTGAATGGAGAGATCAGGAAGCATACCTTGTTTAGGGATAAGCCCTCGGGGCAAACTCAGGTGTGGATGTGTTAATTTTTAAAGTGGTTTTTTTTCTGTGTGTTTATGCATTTCATACCCCTTTCACTGTTACACAGAGTGGAGCTCCAGAGGGGAGGGTTATGGATGGGGATGAGGAGCAGAAGATGACTGCAAAGGCAGTGGAATGCTCCTGGGATCCCAGGTCCTTTCCAGTTTACCAGGCTCAGGGGTCTCGTGCTGGGTAGAACACATCCACTCTTGCACCTTCCTGGCTTTTGAGACCCAAGGCAATGCAGCTGCCGGAAGCGTGTTCAACCATCCCATTAAGCCATGCGGAAGCAGGCTGTTAATATTAATAGTTTGATCCTCCTCCACAGATCACATCCTGCCAGGACAGAACCCTTGCCTGAAGAAGACCAGGTCCTAATGGCAGTATGTCTTTAAACTACAAGTCAAGCCTTAAAACCTTGAGCACCAGAGGTCTCAATCCAGGACAAGATCTACCTAAACCAAACATAGCTAGCCAAAACCACTGCTTTTTCTGAGAAATTATTAATAAAAATCCATGTGAGGTTTTGAAAGATTAGGTTGTCAGGTTAGACTGACCTTAGGAGCTGTAGGGAAAAAATGCAGCATTTTGCTGGAGGAGGAACTCAACTGTAGGAGGCAGAAGGAATGAAAACTTCATGGGAGGTGCTCAGGAAAAGTACTTAAAAATAAAAGCCTGTAAAAGCAATTCTGCTTTGGTAAAATTATGGAATAAAAATTACCCTCAATTCCCATACAGGTTATTTATTTGACCAGCTGAATTACGCTACAGTGTTGTGACTACATTTTTCCACTCTTGTTATGCTGGGGAATTTCCTGGTGGCAGCAAAAGGAGAGGATTGGTTCAGTTGGTTCAGTGGAGCACTGGCATGTCCGCTGGTGTGGCACAGCCTGGGCTCCACCCTGATCCCAAAGGGAAGCCGACACTTGGAGCAATTACAGCTCAGATTCTTTCCCCACAGCTGGGGTTAAGCAAAGAGCCTGCTCCAGGCTGGAGGAGAGAGGCAGGTGGGTGGCACTTCTCCAGCATGCTTCCACATGCTGGTGGAAAAGGTGCAGAGCCCAGCTGGGATTTTGTTTGCCCTGGGCCCACAGCTCAGCCCAGGAGCTGAGCTACATTCTCAGCTTGTTCCAGTGCTACCGTGCAACACTGGGGCCCTTCTTCTCTGCCATTTCTTCCTGCTGCTCCCAGCACAAAGCCTTGGAGCCTACACACACCAGTGATCTCCTGCGCCCATCCTGAGAAACCCAGCTGCCAAGGGAGGCTGTGCTGTGCTGGCTCATCAAACACGATGAGTTTTCAAGTAAAGGCATGAGTGTTTTCGCTGTTTATTAGTGAGAAGGGTGCTCCACCTGCGTTCTCAGTCTGCACAAAAGCTCCCACTACCATGACGCACCTTCCATGGATCTGTGAAATCCTCTTGCTTCACCTGCAGCTCCCTATCCCCAGACTCCTGGGCTCCTCATGCTTGTTTCAGCGAGCAGGACACAGAGGATACTGCAAAATCAGTAAGCACTGGAACCACCAGCATCTCCAGCATTAACATCTATTATGGTTTGACACTGGCCAAATGCTAGGCACTCATAAAAGTCTCCCACTTGCCCTCCCCTACCACAGCTGAGCAGAGGAGAGAGAAAATTAATGAAGGCTTCATGAGTTGAGATAGACTGAGAGAAAACATTCCAAAGGTAAAATAAGTTCGGCTTAGAGGTACAAAGTGAATTTATTCCTAACAAAATCAGAAGAGAATAATGAGAAATAAAATAAGCCCCTAAAAGCACTTTTTCTTCCCTCCTTCCCACTGACAGTGTGGAAAGACAGGCCATGGGAGTTTTGGTCAGTTCATCACCCAAGATTTTCTTCCACTGCTCAGGGAGAGAAGCTGTTCCCCTGTGAGACCATGGAGTCCCTCCCATGGAATATAGTTCTCTGTGAACTCCTCTAATGTGGGTCCACTCTCACGAGCAGCAGTCCTCCCAAAACTGCTGCAATGTGGGTCACTCTTTCTTGGGGTACAGTCCTCCAAGGACAGACTGCTCCAGCCTGGGAACAGAGGCCCCTCTCTCTACCAGATCTCACACTGGATCACAGCCTCCTCCAGGCATCCACTTCCTCTGGCATGGGCATCTCCCCCACTGGCTGTGAGTGGATCTCTGCATCCTTCATGGATCCCCATGGCTGCAGGGGCACAGCTGCTTCACCGTGGTCATCACCACAGACTGCAGTGGAATCTCACCTCCAGCACCTGAAGCACCTCCTCCCTCTCCTTCTCCACTGACCTTGGTGTCTCCATGTTGTTTCCCTCACATGTTCTCACATCCTCCTCTTCTCTGGCTAGAAAAAACTGTGTCCCTCATTTTGCTTTGATTTT